CTTAACTGCTTTAATGATCAGTAACAGTTTTAAGTTACCTCTTCAATGGCTTTTTGTCTTTTGTCTTCCACATCTTTATCTATTCTATACAAAGATAAAGAAGAAAAATAACCAGGCCATTACTTTAGCTGATTGAACATTTAAAATAATAACCTTTAAAAGAAATAACTTCTTTCTCTTGAAAATTGGCAAATGTTAAGCTCATTTTAAAAGAAAAATTGGAATCATATCACATTTAGTTAATGATATTATTTAGATATTCAGCATTGCACTGTTAGGCTTAACTCCCTCTATTCCATTCACAGTTGGAACATTTTCTTTTAAAAGGCTTATATTGACAATACTTTACAAAAGTTGCTAATTACAACATAATGGAAGTAAGTTGAATAAACTTCATCTTTTAATCACAACATATTAATATTTCATTCCATAGAAATATAAAAATTGTCAAAACTCATTTTTTTCAAATATAGCAAGTTTATCATAGTCATAATTTTAGAATCAACTCTTATTCTGAAATAGAAACTATCACCCTTAGACCGCTGAATAGGCAAAAATATTAAAAATGAAATAAAATATCAACAAAAAACTTTGTCCAAATGAATTTTTTCACTTTGATACAATATGCAAGTACAGTAACACAAATTTATCAGCTGAGATATAACAAAAAATGTTGGGTCTCAAGCTCAAGGCATATACTTGCCAAAGGACTCAGCAGTTAGCCTTGTAGGACCACTTCTTTAATCTGTTCCAGGAAAGAATATTTGCTTTCCATCAATAAATTAGTAAGTCACTTTTATCTAATTTTTTTCATGTATATATGTTAGTGGCTTAACAAAGCTTATATAATAATGTATACATTTCAGAAACGAAAATCAAGTGGATTTTTCAATAAAGGAGTTATGAGAAAGACTTCAATCCTCATATCTCAGCTTGAACAACAGCCATTTTGAGGATAACTCAACCCCATCATGAACATAACCAGGTCAAAATGACAGTACATAATAGCATATAGTATTAGTAAGCCCTGATCTAGCATACCTCTTTCAGAAACGTTTTGCTGTTTCATTAGAGGGACTTTAAGGACTTGAAATATACAGGTAACTGCTGGAAGCGGAATATCAGTTTGGCTAAATATTGTAGGGCCAGATCATGGAAGGTTGTAACAAGTCATATAGGGTACAGTATCCTGACATTATGTGTACGTATATTACAGAACACTGGCATGATGCATATAGGTTACAGGTATGCCCTGAATGGATTCTTGGAGAAGGGGTTCAGGACTGTTTACCTTCTGTATGGGCAGACTCATTTGTTTACACCAGTGTGCCTTACAGTTATTTTTTATGTGTAGCAAGGCATGAAAAGGGTAGGAAGCAATGCATTAGGGAACTTGAATTAGACAGGAAGAGACATTGAAAGTCATTGCTAAGAATGAATCAGCCTGTTTTAAAAGTATACTCACTAACTGTGGTGGGAGCCATAACCATTCATGGAATTACATTAGTAAGTTAAATTAAAATTAGGGTGTTTTCTCACTCTTTACCCCTATTCTGTATCTACTGATTTACACCAAGATTCATAAACCTACCCACACAATGCATCATTAATTAGTAAGTATAGAAATGTTGTGTCACAACTTTGGTTAACAGTATTATTAACTCTAGAGGGCAGGAATAATATCCTATACTTCTTCAGTGTGTTCCTCGCAGTGCCTCAGTGCTCAATAAATATCTCTTGACAGTTTACAGTTTTCCATGGTTGCATATATAAAGAGAAGAGGCAAAACAAAGCATACAGTTTGTGTGAGATAAAAAATTAGTCATTTGTGAATCACTTCCTTTTAGATAGTCTTTTCACCTCTTTCAAAGGTATTTAGATTTAAGTTAAAATTCTTTTATGCTCATTCCCCATTCTATTCCTTTCTACAACACTTTAGATAGACATAATTAAGAATGGCCGAACCGGTTTGGCTCAGTGGATAGAGCATCGGCCTGCGAACTCAGGGGTCCCAGGTTCGATTCCGGTCAAGGGCATGTTTCTTGGTTGTGGGCACATCCCCACTGGGGGGCGTGCAGGAGGCAGCTGATTGATCTCTCTCATCGATGTTTCTGGCTCTCTACCCCTCTCCCTTCTTCTCTGTAAAAAATCAATAAAATATATTTAAAAAAAAAAAAAGAATGAATGTTACCAAGCCAAGACAAATATTTGCAAGAGCATCTCAATATGTGTACATCTTTGAGTGAGTGAATTTTAATTGGAAAAGAATTACCTATTATTTTGGACTAACAACACATGAATCTTAGGACCAAAAGTTAAAAGCTGGTCATACTATTCAAATTTTTCAAGTAAAAAAAATTAGACTATGAAACTGACAACAACATTCTCTCAAACTCTTAATGAAATGTTATCTGTCATTTGTAATTACAGATCATTGCAATCTATATATATAAAAGCCCAATGACCGGAATGGAGGAACAACCAGAACAACCGGTGGCTATGATGCACACTGAGGCAGCCAACCAGCCTGATACGGGCCCCAATCAACCCCCAACACCCTGATTGGGGGCGGAGCCGGCTGGCCAACCGCCCGTGTCCCCTCCCCTCCTCACTGGCCTGGCCCAATGGGGCCCCATCAAGGCAGGCCAGCCAGACCCCACCTGTGCACGAATTTGTGCACCAGGCCTCTAGTTTGTAATAAAAAACTAGGTCTGTTCTACCAAAGAAGTGCATATTCTCATTACACGAGGCATCGTTAAGCATCTCAAGTCAGAGGAACACTAGTGCTTGGAAACCTACACAACACATCAACAAAGAAGTTAAGGCTCCTCTGATTACTAGCTTGAATTCAAGACAATATAATTCAGATCCCCAAATATCCTATGTCAAAGTGGGATGATGTCTATAAAAGCTCTTTCTGTTGCTAAAAGATACTCTTCCAGCCCTGGCTGGCTTGGCTCAGTAGATAGAGTGTCGGCCTGCAGACTGGGGGGTCCCAGGTTTGACTCCAGTCAAGGGCACATGCCCGGGTTGTGGGCTCCATCCCAAGTGGTGGGCGTGCAGGAGGCAGCCAATCAAGGATTCTCTCTCATCATTGATGTTTCTAACTCTCTCTCCCTCTCCCTTCCTCTCTGAAATTAAATAAATAAATAAATAAAAGATACTCTTCTAGTCCAGTCCATGTGTCTTAACTTGGTAAGGCTTCTCTAAATGCATGTGTCAATGAAACAGCAATATGCTTTACCCTACACCACCAAAAAAACAAAGCAACAATTCAATGGCAAAAGCCACAATCATGTAGAAAAGCCCTTCCCTCTTGTAAGTGCTGAGGAGGCAGAGTTGTCCCATAAGTGGCTGAGAGAGAAGGTTACCTCTAAAAGAAAAGGACTCCTACCTAGACTTGGACTGTTTGCAGGAGAATCATTCTGGATGTAGTTCTTTGAACTTACTCTTCATTTAGATAACATAAATCTGTATCACAATTTTTCCTCCAATATTTTTACATATAAAAATAAAACTTTGGAATTTCCTTCTCTCTTCACGTGAGGGTATGTTATTACACTTCAGTGCAAGAAGGGAAAACTTACCGAGAATGACTTAAATACAAAGCTTGACGATGAATGTCTTCTGGGTCTATTTCTACAGGATTTATTACAGCTAGTTGATCAATAGACCATCTAAATTTCCCTGGAGTCTTAATAAAAGAAAGTGAGATTATGAATAAAAGCAAATTAAAATAGTTCATCAAAGTGCTAACCTATGTCAACTTCAAAAATAATGAGAATGGTTATAGTATAAAAATATCTTATACTTTATATTTACTGTACTTATTTATTTTCAATTTATTTTTTCCATCACCTCATATTTCTAAATCTGATTTTATCACTAAATTAAATGACAAGTGGTAATCAAATCACACTAAATATTGACTCGACTGTATCTCTTTTAAAATATCAAACCTTCCCTCTGGGTGATTTTTAAAATTACATAATAGGATTCATAGTAGAATATAAGAGGTATAGAAAATCTACAATTAACACTCATCAGGGATGTCCAAATAAAAGTAAAAATCTCTTAGTTACCTAAGGTCTTTATTTTCAATAAGAATGAACTGAAATTAAAGTCCTAACTATAGAAGTGCCTGCAAAAGCTCATAAAATAGTTGATCCATAAAATAATTATGAATGGTAACCACTGCTTCTTTCCATATCCAACTATCTAATTAAACCAAACACTTATTCATTGGTTGATTCTTGTATGTCCCTGACTGGGGATTGAACCTGCAACACTGGCGTATTGGGATGATGCTGTAAACAACTGAGCTACCTAGCTAGGGCCTAAACTGTAATTCAGAATATATTTTTGACAAATTCAGGCTTAAAAACCCAAGATACCATACATTCTGGCTTTTAGGATGAAGTTGGAGTCATTCCATTATTTTTATTAAGACTAACAGATAAACTAAGATTTAATATGATTCAATTAAAATGAGGTCCGAGTAATGAATCAATATACATTGTATAAATAAAACGTCCCTCTGCATACCTACTTCAAACTGATATGAACAAGTAGCATAAACAGCCACACAATTTGCAGTTTTCTAGATAATTTACTAGATTTGAAGATCAGACTTGAAAAGAAATTCTCCAGGATAGCCGGTTAACAGTAAAATAAGCTAAAGTGATTAAGCATTCCCTAATCCCCAGAAGAGCACGTTCTCTTCCATATCACCCTCGTGGTTAACCACTAGTCAGCACATATATTCTTTTGAAGTTGCTAATGAAGTTGTGTCTATCCCATAATACAATCTGCAAGCTATGAAATGGTTGACAAAAACCCCAAAGAATATTAGTATTTCATGGAAATTACATGAAATTCAAGTTTCACTGCCCATAAGTAAAGCTTTATTGTTTATATATTGCCTATAACCACTTTTGTGATACAAGGCACAGGTGAGTAGTTGTTACAATAACCAGATGATTAGCAAAGCCTAAAATATTTAGTTTGTAGGAAAAGGTTTGCTGACCCCTGCATTAGAGTATAAACTCCTTTGGAATTTGTGTCTAATGACCCTGACTTGTTTGCAGTGTAATCTCTATGCCTAGCACTGTATCTGACACATAGCAGCCTTCAAATAATGTTTGCTGAATAAATGAGAGTGGATAACTAGATGACACAGGATCTTCTCAAATATGGTATCTATATTTATATATCACCAACCATAGACAGCACAATTGCAGGAAGCTAACATGTAATCTATTTAAAAAAAGGAGAGAGAGAAATGGTAACTTTAAAAACTCCTAGCTAAGTTGTTTTTAGCTGAAACATTAGATTATAATGAACATTACAATTTAAAAAGTATGTTCTAAGTAATATATGCTCCATGGTAAATTTCCCCTTACTTTGTAAAGAAATATATTTTTATTTAAAATTATTTGTAGCCCTAGCCGGTTTGGCTCAGTGGATAGAGCATCAGACTGCAGACTGAAAGGTCCAGGGATCCATTCTGGTCATGGGCACATGCCCAAGTTGCGGGCTCCATCCCCAGTGGAGAGCGTGCAGCAGATCAATGATTCTCTCTCATCATTGATGTTTCTATCTCTCTCTCTCTCCTTTCCTCTCTGAAATCAATCTTTCTTTTTAAATAAATAAATAAAATTATTTGTGAACACTAGTCAAGAACAACTTACTGGTAATTTTGTTGATTTAAAAACAGGACTGGAGACAGTTTGTTCATGGAGATTACAATAATCACCAGGACTTTCAAAAGGATTTAAAATAGGGATCCTTCCTGGAGTTTCCGGTGTTATTTGCATTTTTGGTTCTTTGCCATCTCCCATAGCACAGAGAAGAAAACTAAAAAAGAAATCAGAAGGACATACAATAGAACTACAAAGTTCCACAGACATTCATTTTGATAATCAAGAAGTATTCAACAAACAGTTGTCAAAATTAACTGAAAACCTGACGCTGTTGGAGCTAGTTTATTTATATAGTTTACCAAAAGGCATCACATACATTTTTCTCAAGGGGTCCTCCCAACAACCTTGAAACCCAGAGCAGTCAGGTATTAGTGATACCATTTTATGGAATTAAGCTCAGAGAACTTAAATGACATCTAAGTAACAGTTAACCAAAGGCGAATGAGTTCAGGTCTGCTTTCACCGAGGCAGCTAAGTGTTATAAGAGGCACAAAATTCCTTCCAACTAGAGGTCTTACACCTATATTAAGAGTTCTTATACCACGGTATTAAGTCTCTAAACACGCTGAACATCTTTCGGGTATCCCAGCAATTCCCCATCAAGCTGCAGTTACTACACAACAATTATTTACAGCAAAGCAAGAGACGACAGAGCTTGTGCAGGTGAGCCTTTCTGGCACATCAGCCCCGTCAAAGAAGTATGACTGATGAGAGAGAGACCAGAAGTTAACCGCCTTTGGCTGTCTCCTCGCCCTCCTTTCGCTAAGAGCCCCAGGGCAGCAGACGAGACTGCATGACTCCAGGCAAAGAGACCTACAAAGCCGGAGAAAGAAGAATCCACTTCTTGGGAGGCGGAAGCGCAGCTGGCTTCCTCGGGTGGAGAGCGGAGGACACTCACACCTGTCACCTCCACGCCACGCTGCCGCTCTTCCGTGGTGCCCCTACTCCCCTCGCCGCTCCCATGCATCCCGGAGGGAGCGGGCAGGCGGGTCCGCAGCCGGGCAGAGCGAGCTCTCCAACTCGAGGAAGGGGAAAGGCCAGGGACTACCGAGCACCTACCTAACGGAGCGTGTCAACGGGAAGCCCCCCGAAGGCGGCTCCAGCGCTCCCGAGGGCCCAGGCTGCTCCCACCGCAGGCGCCGACTCTTTAACTCCCCGCTTCCGCGCTGTCACAGGCCAACCAGGCACGGGGCTGGCGGGCG